ATCGTTTCCGTTTAGACGCAATTAAATAATTGTAATCATTTTTTTAACGCCGAAAATTGTTGTGTTTGAAAAAAAAACTTAAGATAAACTATATCATGTGATAAATATTTATTTTAATAGCTACAAATTCAAGATGATGATGATGATTTTCTTTGCATAAAGATGCTTGTTTTTTTATTTAATATAAATCGTTTTGAGGCCTTACAAGTCAGCATGTGATCTACTCAAAACTAAAAAAATATCCTCACAGATGATGTACATTCATAATTTTAAATAAGATGTTTTAAGATTGCTGACCCAGATGTAACAGAACACTTTTTCTTTTTTTCATCATTTCACCCAAAATAAAGCAATAATACCACAAAGACACAAGAGGTCACTGAATGTTAGAGAATATGAGAAAATAAAATATTATTAAGGGGAGAGAACAGTAAAAGAACAGGAATTAAGAAGACAGAAGATAACAATTGACATTGCATTTAAATATTTGCAGAGATTACACATGCAAGAAGTGTGAGAGAAGAAACTGTTAGCATAGAACTTACAGTCACATCTAGTGATTTCAAGTATAAAATGATTGCCACCAATCTAGTACTGCTCTTAAATTCATAAAGTCTAGGTACCATAGGGGAAAGTTCATCAGAACAATTACTATGAAAGTATTTTTGAAAGTACTTATGCAAATTTTCAAATCGAATTTTTCTAAAAAATGCTGATGTATTATATACAGTCACGCGTGTGTCAAAAGTAATAAAAGAAGTAAAGTGAACAACAAAAAGGCCAACTAAGTTTTATAGTAAACCAAAAAAAAAAGGTTTTATTATAGTTTAAGTAATTATGGTCAGTGTTAAAAAAAGACTAAAAAAATCAAAGGCTTACTAGCAAGAAATTAGAAATACTTCCAAATAATGTCAGATGGAAGTTATTGAGATTTTGTGATATAGTTTACATGTCAGGTCAGTGAATGGTTAGTAAATAGATTCCTCTGGAGTAAATTTCCCCCATCAACTGACTTCACCAGTCAACTCACTTAATTTTGGCACCAACCAACAAAAACGAATACCCAAATGAAAGACTTCCACATGAAAGAGTTCTTTGAAGTTTTTTTAATCTAAATGGCCCAGAATTTAGAGAAGTTTTTTTCATAACAACACATAAATGATTGTCCTCATTATGTCATTTCCGTCAGCCTTCATCAGGTTGTTGTTGATCCAGATAAGCTTCAGGGAAATGACAAGCACCTGATGAAGGTCACGGCATGCAACAGCTGAAATATGAAAGCAACAACAAAGATGAGGATAATAGTCCATGTGCAAATAATGTAAATAAATGATAACTCCTCGTCACAGAAATTGAGACAGAAAATGCTGGTACATGTGTAATGAGAGAGAGCTATGTTAAAAGATTTATTCTCCCATTTGTATTTCCCCCATTGTGACATTATTATATCCATGATATAATAACACCTTATTTCATGGGCAGACTGAAATGTCTGAAACGAAAGGGAATGATGAACATGCTTTCTTCTCAGAGAGACTATGATACTACAAAGACAAACAAAAAACTATATATATGTGGAGAATAATATATCATACATAGCAAAGCAGAGTGTAAGAAGAAACAAAGAGGAAGGGTTTTACATATATATGGAGATACTCTGGTATCTGGAAAAGCCATGTTTATGACTCCAGATTCAAACAGGCTAGATTCATCTATGTCCCAGGTGAGGACATATTCCATGAACAGGTAACAGAAAATCTTAGGTTTTTCCAAATTGAGGACTGTGAACTGGAGTTTCATTCTATATCTAGGAAAGATATATTCCCAAAATGGGAAATTGCCCCATGAACGTGTAAGCTGCTAAGGTGGCAGAATTAGCCTCTGCCTGGGTTAAACAAAGAAACCTTACAGTGTAGCTGATGAAAACCAACTGAAAACTGACTGCTGCTTTCATCACTGTATAGAGTGACATCATTAAGCAGCCACCACATGACCTAAATAACTCATCCCCACCAAATGGAGATAAGCACCTTCTTGTATCCTTACACATCTCTGGTAATTCTTTTCTTTAAGTAGTTATTACCACACTGACATTTAAATAGGTAAGCTAAAGAACTTGTTTGAAAGATAGGTAGGACATGTTTATAAATTGATTTTAGCATCAGTCGAGAAGAGAACAACTTTAAAGAATCGTCACAAATTTTATAGCTCTTTTTTGTTGTTGTTGTTGATAATTTATGATTGTTAAAACTTACCCCTTGGCCCGGATCCTCGAAATCCTCGTCGGAAGCTGGGTCCTCCACGTGCAGAAGTGCAACTTCCTCGAGAACTCTGATAATTACGGCTTCCGGAATTACTTGATTCCCGTTCCTTGGAATTATTCTGCCGTTCCTGCATTCGCTGTTTGGCTTTATGTTTAGCACCATTCAGGTGGCTACTCAATTGTTCCTGCGACGTGACATGAACTGAACAAAGGGCACACATGAACACGTTCCCACTTCTGAAAGATCAAGAAAATAAAGAAATCATTAATAAATAAGAGAAAAATGAAAAAGTTTATGAAATAAAAATTAAAATAGAATTCAATAATCTTTTCCAATTTCTTTCTTTCTGTGTTTAGAAATGGAAGTTATGGATTACAGAAAAGTTAGTTGCATTTAATTTGATAAAATAAAAAATAATAACTAGAACAAATGCAACTTGCCAGAGGGGGGAAAAAATGAGAACATGCATAAAAGCCTATCATGTAGACACCATGTTCATGAAAGTTGTGTGCATACAAACAAATAATTTTTACTCTCTTTAATAGGCAAATACCATTTCTTAAGAATAAGAGCATTTTAAGATGCATGAGTATGGCCAATATGAATCATAAAAAAAGTGAAATTGTGGAGAGCCATGATCACAAACGTATATCCTAAAGGGACACAGCACATAGAAGAGAAAATGTTTGAAGAATTCCTAACACATTGTAGTAGGGACATGAGTTTGAGTCAAAGATAACTTTCCGTGTCAAAACTATCATGTCATAATGAAAAATCATTTCTTGTCTGATCACCAAAGTTAAGTAATGTCAAGCCTGGCCAATACCTAGATGGGTGACTGCATGGGAATGCCAAGTGCTGTAAGCTTGGATGTGCAAGGTGATGTAATGGATAATGTCTTGAAATTGTAAATCAGTGAGTCAAGTTCAAATTCCAGTCAGGTTTATTGTATTCACTTACATCCAAATAAACTTTGAGAAAAGTATAAATCCACCTATTCTCCTCCCAGCAATAGGTTAATTAGTAGAACTTGTATCAGTAAATTATTATCTCCAAAAAATTCTTACAATCCAAACATATTTTCTGGCTTTAAATAAGCTTCAAAAGGTTGATAAACCGTAAAAAAGCAAATCAATCACTTCTAGCATATAATACATTCATGCACTTGCGAATTAATGAAAGACCAAAGTTAAAAGCACCCATTTATTATTCTAAAGTCACAGATGAAGAAAATCCTAAAGTAACCGAGAAGTGGTTCTACCAGTGACAAATGCTAAGAACCTTTTTGTGTAGGGTGGGGCTTTCAGCACCTGGGGAAATTTAAACTATTGCACCTCCTCCTCAGCTATAAGCTTATTATAAATTCTAATTTTGTACATATTCTTTTAACCTAATTAATATTTTGCACCCATAAAAAAATTTAGCACCTGAAGCAATTGCCCCTCTGGTTTCTGTTCACACTATGCCACTACTAAGAATAACATGAACATATCATGTAAGCAACAAAAATGTCTTTAAAAAATAGACAGTATCAAGGAACTTATATTTACAATAGAAAGAAAACAGCTGAAATTTCTGAAACACATTATGAGAAAAGAAGGCCTGGATACTCTAACACTCACAGGACATATTGAAAGCAAGATAGGAAGATGTGGAGAGCTATGATCACTCAAATCCTGGAAGGGCATGGATCATAAAAAGAGAAGAGTAGAGTGAGTAGCCATCATTAAATATAAATAAATTGCAGAACTGTTCAACAAACACATTTGACAATGCTTGCAATAAAATATTACAAGAAAAAGAAAATTAACAGTAATAAGGCAAAAAGTTCACAAACTAAGCATTGGAGTTGACACACAAGAGCAAATTTAGATAAGCGAGTATAGTGTTCTGACTTCAATGCAAGTCAGACTGGGACTGAGTCAGATGAGACCAAGAACCAGCCTATTTTATTGGCTAGAAAGAAATCTCAACATGGGAAGGGGAAAGTATTTTGGAATCATTTGTAGCAGGATTTTCAGACCAATGCTGTGGACAGCTCTGCTTGTCAGCCACTGAGTTGCGCTCTTTCTAGTCTTGGGCACCAGTGGCAAATTACCTCAGCAATCCTGAGTTTTTGATTACCTGGTGATTGACTTAGAACATGTTATCTCTCAATGACACAGCCTTCAGAAGTGGCTGGGTGGATTTGCCCAACTATCATCATAATGTTGACGAGTTGACAGCTCATATCAATCCCAAACATTGCATGTTCATCAACCCCACATACGCGTGTGGCATGAATGGTGGTGTGAATATCGCAGATGGCAAGATTCTTACGATGTGAATGTTATTCCCATCACAATCTGAATGGATTCTTTTGCCATTAGCTCAAGATGAAGATCAGATCTTATAGAAAGCATTTGCTACTGAATGATTTCAGCGAAAGTTGGGTGAAAGTGGTAAGCTTAGTTTGAGTGAATGGAGCTAGCCTTGACTTTCTTTTTTAAGTCCCCTTTGACACATCAGGGTGGTTTCCTGATGAACCTTTCCTCTTGGTTAAGCTAGACTCTCTTTGTTCACCTAGCTAATGGGAGTAAGTGATGTTCCCAGCTTGAACCCAGCATTATCTTTTGTTACGATCAATGTCAAGATACCCAACCTCCCCAGTTTGTTTTTGACCTCTTTTTATCGTGTCTGAATCAGACTTTTGATATTTCTCCAACCCTGTAATTTATTTTGCCTGTCCCATGCTTTTATAAACAGGCTTCAAGAATGAATTAAATTCATGAGTCAAGGTTATAATCATTATTATCAAATCTCAATGATGTTCAAACTTCATACCCACCAAAAAACTGTGTCAAAAGAACTTTTATTCCCTCGACACTACTATTACTGTATACACTTTTGACTCCCTCAACAGTGTTTATTCTTTTAAAAAGCAATGTTTAGAATTTTAATAAAACCCAAACATGTGACCTTTTCTTTATTCTTGAGAAATGACAACAAAGATGTTAAACACTAATTATTAGATTGCTTATTTACAAGAATAATTTTATATTTACAAGATTATAAAAAAAATGCAAACCAACTCCAATGAAATATTTATTATTTAGAATTTTATAAAGAAATAAATATGAAAAGAAATTTTTTTATTCATAAATTCATAAAAATGTCTGTGAGAAAGAAAATTTGATTAAACACATAATGAATGAGTAACTGTAATTATAAATTTTTAAAAATACATTTTCTGGGCATTTTTTTCATTTGCTTTTGTCATAAATTCACTAAAATAGTTTTCATAGTTATTTACAAAATGGTAAATAATAAATATTATAAATAATAGATAATAAATGGTAAATAATATTGCATGGTAGTCGGTTTACATATTTTGATAATTTTGTAATTTTTTATAAAAAAAAAAAAAAAAGAAAACATTTTTTTAAACTTATTTCTTAAAAGGTAAGTAATAAATATCACACTGTACTCGGTTCACATATTTTCATAATTTTGTAAATATTAAATTATTCTTGTAAATAAACAATCTAATAAAATAAATAGTGTTTAATATCTTTGCCGAGGGAGTCAAAAATGTATAATAGCAGTGTCAAGGGAGTAACTGTTCTTTTGACACAGTTTTTTTTTTTTTTTTTTTTAGTAGGGGGGTGTAGACATGAAGTTTAAAAATTACCAAGTATTCTTTATTAGCTTAACGATTTAATTGACCAAAGCAAAGAAAACCTAGAAATTCTCCTCCTCCTCCCCTCGACCCAATGTAAATTTAAAAATAGAAATATTAATGATTCTGAAGAATATAAACGTTTCAGTTGGATCATAAATTAGCTAAAATAAATGTCAGGGTGGCATAAAATAAAAAGACAAGATGCAGTTTGTTTGTTTGTTTTTGTTTTTTTTAACCAAATTTCAAGTACCTTTTCTTAACCAATTCTTTTCTCTTTTTTTTTTTTTTTTTTTTTTTTTTTTGGGGTTTAAAAAAACACATAACCTAAAATTTATTTGTTTTTACGCTTTTCGAGATGATTTTTTTCTTTTCAGTAATATAGTTGGCCGTTTAAGAAAAAAAGTAGAAAAAGAATTTCAACATAATAAAATTAAACAAGGGAAGTAATAAAATGAAAAAATATAAGAGTCATCTCCCTTGGTTTTTAAATTCATCTAAAAAATATGAAGAATAAATTCGTATTATTTTATGGTTGTTATCAAAATACATTTTAGTCCCTCTTAAAATTGATCAATTTCGTTGAGGTTTCAGTCAGCTGCATTGTTGAATTTTTTTTTAAATTTTTTTTTGGGCTCTAGAAAGCGTTACTTCAAAAAAAAAGTCCTTAAAAAGCTCTACTTATTTAGCAACTAGGTAAATTATAAATGAATTTAATTTTTTTTTACATTAACTATGTATGGTAAACACTATTTCCAGACTTAAACAATATTTTCCATATATAAAAGTACGTTAAGACACTTACATGAATAAATTTATTTTTCTATCATGTCTTCTTGAATTTTTCAAGTTTTTCAGTTTTGGGAGCAAAAAATTCTTAATCCCAATAGAAACTACATTTAATTTGCATAAACTAAATAATCATTTTTCATGGGTTTCAATTGCTAATAAATTTTAAATACTTCTTAAAATAATTTAAATAATTCTTGATACAGGAGGGTGTTCTCAGCGCAACTAGAAGTAGATTTCAAAAATATCTGATGTTTTAGTCAGATTTCAGTAAGTGGCTTCTCAGCACTTCATAGTTTAAACACATTTTTTAACAGAAATGAAAGTGTGACACTAAAATCTGAAGATACATTCAGATAGTGAAAGATGCCTTCCAAAAGCTAAGCAAAGTATTAAGAAACAGGAAAATTTCCTTAGAAACAAAGAAAAGAGTACTGAATATGTAATATCACTCCTCGTATATGGCAATGAATGCTGGACAATATCCTCACAGATGAAGAAGAGACTTAAATCAACAGAAATGTGGTTCTACAGAAGGATGCTGAGAATAATATGAACTGAACAAAGGAGCAATGACAAAGTTTTGGAAACAGAAACAACACTTATACTTAATATTAGAGACAACTGAAATTTCTAGGGCACATAATGAAGAAAGAGGGCTAGGAAAATAGGATACTCACAGGACAGATTGAAGGTAAGAAGGACAGAAGAAAACAATGCATAACGTACCTAACAAGCTTGTATAAATAGATGATAGATGCATAAATGAATGATAGAACAAGAGCTATG